ATGTATATTATATATGTGTGTGTAGTCACTTGATATATCCAGAGCGCTTTACTTCCAAGTCAACATACGTTATCGCTTTATAAGCGCTTTGTAATATGACTGGTGCCGGTCAAACCCATGTGGGTCAGATACGGCGGAAAAGAAATACGCTTTCGAGGTATGTATGTGTACTCAATGCACTAGTTGCACAGGATGTTCGCACGTGTTGTGTTTATTTATCATACGATCAGCGTGTGACCATTGTGTTTTGCTTTGTAGATTTGATTGATTTTGATTGTTGTATATTGTGAAAATATAGCATTATGTCTCGTTCTATATCTGTTAGTGAGATATGTCCACTATACACATCGAGGTGTATGTACAAGTCACATATCTATTTTTCAGTGTTTTATACTTTTTCACGACTAGTTGTTCACTTTTCCCATAACCAAGTAGCTTGAGGAATAGTATTGAATTTTTATATATCTGACTGTATATAGCGCTGTTGTGCAGTATGATATAGTATTAAATGTGTATTAATCCGACTGCATATAGCGTTGTTGTGTACTATGATATAGTATTAAATGTTTATATATCTGACTATGTATAGCGTTGTGGCATACTATGATATGTATCCGCATGTACACAAGACGTAGGCATGGATGCATCGTTGATCAAGTATGGCCGAATGTGTATCTAGAGGTGTATGTATTACTCGCTAGATATCTGGGGAATACACTAGATAGCTTAAATTTATTGCATGCATTAGTTAGCATATACCTATAACATGCACTAGATATACGCTTAATCAAGCGTCCTAGACATATCTGCACATACCGTTAAAACGGCCTCAATTTTTTTCTAAACAGTCCACTTACTCTCCACCATGCGGTCGTGAACTACGTATGCACGATGTATCTAACGTTATACGCCATGCGATCTATATTGTGAACCTGTTTTTATGTGAATATTATGCGAATCCATGCAGTTTGTCGTGTGGTCATAGACCTGTCTTGTGTATGTATAATAATGTCGTATAGTCTGTGTGTGTCCGCTTGTGCGCAGGTGTGTATTTTCAATGTGGTTTGGTGTTTTTGTACGCACACACTTGTGTACTGCCGTAAGCGGACTGGAGTGCGTAAATCAATATATCGATTCGGTCGGATGGCACACACGACGAATAAAACGTTATACGCTTGATTTACCACGGTATAACCTCTGGGTTATATAAACTTAAGATATACACCCTTATCAATTAGTTATATAAACTTGAGGTATACACCCATATCAGATAGTTATATAAACTTAAGGTATACACTCATATCAGTTAGTTATATAAACTTAAGGTATACACCCATATCAGTTACGTACCTACCAGGAAGTCGTTATCAACCACCCGGAGAGGTACAACCAGTGTTTCTATCTCGCTAATCCTCAGAGATATACTATACAGTTATCTACTGTGATAAGATATGAATCAACTTGCGAAATCTACGCGTGGCAGCAAAGTTCATACATCACTTATACACAAAGAGAGAACCCGTTTCTGCAAGCACTTCGATTACATGTGCGCATGTACATTGGCCCACATCCACCATGTTGTCTGATACGAGAATATATATATATATATATATATATATACATGTGCGCATGTACTGTCTTAGCACAAGCATTCATTGTGTATGCCTAAGCACATGTACATTGGCCCACATCCACCATGTCGTCTGATGAGTACACCTGCGCTCATACAAGACAACACTAGTGTAACAGCGGCACATATCCACGTGTATATCATATGCGACTCCTTTACTAAGATCGAGTACATAGGGTTTATATTTCGCAATAAAAAGAAGCATTTGTGTGTGTGCACCTTTCTTTCACCGTTGTACCACACCACGAACAATCACCTCACTGTCCTACTATTGCGTTGCAAATGACACACACAGAACATTCAGCACCGCATCTGGGGCAAAGCACACACTAGAGCAACAGGATGTGCGGCAGAGACGCTTTCGTACACCCCGTGGCTCTGATGGTGCTCTCGATAGCTGCGATGGGTCAATCGCGTCCTTGCCAGGTAAGTGTGGATGTGTTGACCAAATCCAGGAGAATGTGTATATGAGATATGAATATGTATTTTAGGAGCGTCTACTCTGACGTATATATACAAATATCCAAGTGTATATTATATATATATACATAAGGACATATATATATAATTTTATATATATATATATATATGTGTGTGTGTGTGTGTCTGTGTCTGTGTACTCAAATATTATTTACGTACTTGACATACAAAAAACAAATACTCATATTTATAATAGTGTGTTGACGTGTGTAGCCTGTGTCCGGTATGCCTGTAATATATTTCAACGTTTATACTGCAGTGTGGTTGTACCCGATAATGTGTGAGTGCATTTTGTTATTTGTAATCTAATATATATTGTATTATACTGTACATTATATTATATTAACATATAATATAATACTTAATTCCAAACCCCAAATCCTACTACGATATGTTGGACTATCGCTGCACTACACCCACCGATAGTGTACAACTGACCACAAGCACTTAGTCATATCACATGTGCACGCACGGATGAACTAGGACTATACGACTATACGAACTCACACCCTCATACGCTACCAGACCGCTTCTCTACAAAATCAATTAGTTTGTATTCTAGTTATATATGTGTATCTATACATACAGATGCGCTGTGCAGATATTAACCTACACGTGTGTACCCTCACATACCTGTATATGTGTAAGGATGTACCATACACATGCTTTAAGATAGTCGGTTTAATCCCTGCAGGCGCTTGCAAGGCTAGGCATACTCACCAATAGCTAGTCGTCATCTGGGGCTCGCACACGTGTAAACACAGTCTGGTGTTGTGGTAGTTGTTCATCAGGCGTGACCACTTGCGGTTTAGGGTTTTTCAAACTCCACCTGTGATAAGCTAGATAAGCTCTGGCAGTATGTTATACCTAGTGTTGGAGATACTTGTACCGGTTCTATACTTATACTAATTCTATTTATATATGTGTTCCATTTTTATACTTATTCTATTATACATTTATTCTATCTTAAACTTGTTCTATATTTATACCTGTTCTATTTTTATACTTGTACTATTATACATTTATTCTATCTTAAATTTGTTCTATATCTATACTTGTTCTATTTTGATACTTGTACTATTATACATTTATTCTATCTTAAACTTGTTCTGTATTTATACTTGTACTATTTTATGTTTCCAACTAGCACGCAGCAGTGCGCTCGAGAATGACAGCAGGTATATGGCTAGGCTTGCAGCCTCCACTAGCACGGGTGTAGGAAGGACTCGATCAGCTGACTCTCCAAGTGACGGTAAAACTCAATATTTTCATCATTCACACTCATATATATATATATATATATATATATATATATATGTGTGTGTGTGTGTGTATATATAATAATATATA